AAAACTTCTCCACTTCTCCTGCCTGCAAGATAGACATATGTCTGCCTGCCAGTGGGGTCCCTCAGCTAGTTCCAAGCCACCAGCAAACTCTGCTCTGCAGATCTGCAGCTGTGCGTTGAGGTTGGGGGTGCTTGATGGAAGGAGTATAGGGACAGAATACATTGCATGACTAACAATTGAAACCCTATTTATTGGGCTGCCTCTTGCCTTTATCATTGATTTGAGCACAAAGCTGGTGATAGATGAATCATTTTTCTGTCTCTATAGTTTTCAGGTCTGAAACTTGTTTTCCCCTTTACAAATCAATCTTGTAAAACAGGCTCTTTGATATAGTCATACAAGTTTTACTATCCCACTTTTTTTGCATTTTTATTTATTTCAAACACACACATACGGAGAGGGCAACAAAGAGGGATCTCCCACACAGTGGATCACTCTCCAAATGCTAGCTACTGCCAAGGCTGGGACAGGTTGAACCAGGAACAAAGAATTAGTCAGTATATCCCAAATGTGTGGCAGAGACTCAACAACTTGAGATTTCACCTGCTGCCTCCCAGGATGTGCATTAACCAGGAAACTGGAATCAAGAATGGAGGTAGGACTTGAACCCAGTCACTCTAATTTGAGATTGCAGGTGTCCCAAGCAGAGTCTTAATCTCTACACCAAGTGCCTCCCCACCCCATGCTTTTAAGAAAACTGAATACTCAACAGCTATTGTGAGCCATGGATAAATAACATGTTGAAAAATAAATAACTCTTAGGCTGGCGCTGCAGCTCACTAGGCTAATCCTCCACCTTGGGACACCCGCACACCAGGTTCTAGTCCCGGTCGGGGCTCCAGATTCTGTCCCGGTTGCCCCTCTTCCAGGCCAGCTCTCTACTGTGGCCAGGGAGTGCAGTGGAGGATGGCCCAATTGTTTGGGCCCTGCACCCAATGGGAGACCGGGAGAAGCACCTGGCTCCTGGCTTCAGACCAGCGTGGCGCACCAGCTGCAGCACGCTTGCTGCAGCGGCCATTGGAGGGTGAACCAATGGCAAAAGGAAGACCTTTCTCTGTCTCTCTCTCTCACTGTCCACTCTGCCTGCAAAACAAAAAAATCAATAACTCTTGTTGTGACAAATAAAATTTGATGTAAGAAACATTAATCTCTTGATATTATTAAAACCAATCTTATGAAATCTCATTCTTCTTTCCAAAAATGAACCAAAGTAATAATTCATGTGATGAGCAGGAATTTGGAAAACATTATGTTGAGTGAAATAAGCCAATCCCAAAGGGACAAATACCACTTGTTCTCCTTGATAGGTGACAACTAACTGAGCACCAAAAAGGAAACCTGTTAAAGTGAAATGAACACTCTGAGAAAAGGTGACTTGATCAGCCCTCACCCTGACTGTTGATGAGCAGCTTAATATGTTATCCCTCTTAGTATTTTTTTTGTTTGTTCTACTTAATACTTTTGGTTGAATACTGTAATCAATACACAATTCTTCTTAAGTGCTGAAACTTAACTGAAAAGTGATCGCTGTTAAATATAAGAGTGGGAATAAGAGATGGAAGAGATGTGCAATTCGGGACATGCTCAAGCTGACTTACCTCAAACGGTAGAGTTAGAAACATACCAGGGGATTCGAATTCAATGCCATTGAAGGTGGCATGTACCAATGCCATCTCACTAGTCCCAGTGATCAATTTCTGTTCACAATTGATCGTAATGATAGGATCTAAGAACCAAAGGGATCACATAAACAAGAATAGTGTCTGCAAATACTAGCTGATAGAATCAAAAAGGAGAGAATGATCCAACATGGGAAGTGAGATACACAGCAGACCCATAGAATGGCAAATGTCCTAACAGCACTCTGGCCTCATAATCAGCCCTTAAGGCATGCGGATCCAGCTGAAATGCCCATGAGAGTATTTCAGGCATGGAAAGTCAAGACACTCTGGGGGAAAAAAAAAAAACTAAATGAAAGCTCTCCACGAGTGAGATCCCAGTGGAAAGAACATGGGTCATCAAAGAAGGAGGTACCTTTCTCTGAAGGGAGGAAAAAACTTCCACTTTGACCATGGCCTTATCTAAATATGATCAGAGTCAGTGAACTCAGGGGGCTTCCATAGCCTTGGCAGCTCATGACAAGAGCCTAGGGTGATTACTGATGCCATAAACAAGAGCGTCAATTTGTTAAGTCAACAACAGGAGTCACTGTGCACTTACTCCTCATGTAGGATCTTTGTCCTTAGTGTGCTGTACATTGAGATTTAATGCTATAAATAGTACTCAAACAGTATTTTTCACTTTATGTTTCTGTGTGGGAGCAAACTGTTGAAATCTTTACTTAATGTATGCTAAACTGATCTTCTGTATATAAAGAGAATCGAAAATGAATCTTGATGTGAGTGGAAGGGGAGAGGGAGTGGGAGAGGGGAGGGTTGCGGGTGGGAGGGACGTTATGGGGGGGAAGCCATTGTAATCCATATTCTGTACTTTGGAAATTTATATTCATTAAATAAAAGTTAAAAAAAAAGTTTCATTCCTTTTAACTTGATCTTTTTGAAATGTCACAGTCATAATAAATGCTAATAATTTCTTCTTACCTGATGAAGTTCAATGAAAATTACTTATTTCATTAACATTTAATTACAATGGAAACACACTAATTCAAATAACCACATTTCCATACAAGGTGAAAAAATACGTACTGCTTTTACTTATTCAAAGTGAAATATCATTTACTTAGTACATCATATGTGACTTTAGCAAATTGAGTGAAAATATCAAAACTAAGTTACTTGTTTTTTTTCTTTACTTTGTTATAAAATCCCTAGATGGTAATAACTGAAGATATGAAATTTTTGTATTCAAAGTAATTACTTTATTTCTGTCTTTTTCTTTTTTTAACTTTCTTTTTTTAACTTTTATTTAATAAATATAAATTTCCAAAGTACAGCTTATGGATTACAATGGCTTTTCCCCCCATAACTTCCCTCCCACCTGCAACCCTCCCATCTCCCGCTCCCTCTCCCATTCCATTCACATTAAGATTCATTTTCAATTATCTTTATATACAGAAGATTGATTTAGTATATATTAAGTAAAGATTTCAACAGTTTGCACCCACACAGAAACACAAAATATAAAGTACTGTTTGAGTACTAGTTATAGCATTAATTTACATTTTGGTCTTTTTTAAACTAACAAGACCAACTAGAATGACAGCTTTTTTTTTCTCTCATCACCTTACCTAATCTCTCAATGGTGTTTAAAAACAATTAGAGGCCAGCGCCGCGACTCACTAGGCTAATCCTCCGCCTTGCGGCGCCGGCACACTGGGTTCTAGTCCCGGTCGGGGTGCCGGATTCTGTCCCGGTTGCCCCTCTTCCAGGCCAGCTCTCTGCTGTGGCCAGGGAGTGCAGTGGAGGATGGCCCAAGTGCTTGGGCCCTGCACCCCATGGGAGACCAGGAGAAGCACCTGGCTCCTGCCATTGGATCAGTGTGGTGCGCTGGCTGCAGTGCGCTGGCCGCACCGGCCATTGGAGGGTGAACCAACTGGCAAAAGGAAGACCTTTCTCTCTGTCTCTCTCTCTCACACTGTCCACTCTGCCTGTCAAAAAATTAAAAAAAATAAATAAATAACATAAAAACAATTAGAAACATCACTATCAATATACATTATTATAATTAACAACTTCTGCTTTCCCCACCATCTCAGGCATATCTATCAAATTTATTCAGTTAAAACAGTGAATCTCACCAAATTTATGAGTAAAGAACCATAGGACATTATGAACTTATTATGGTTGAATCTAATTGAATTAATACTGATATGTTCTGGTTGTTATCAGCATATATGTGAGCTCTCACTGATCATTCATTTACTAATTTAGAGACTACTCCCTTATATCTAAAATCATTATAAGAATTCACAAAGATTATCATTACTATTGTATGAGTACACATTGATTTCTTTCCCCAAATAGTCATTAATTTCAATAACTGGAAGAAAGCAAAAAACTAAAAAGTATATATTATGCATAAAAATTGGGAGTGATAAAAGGATTTAAAGTATAACATTTACTTTAAATTGAATGCATCTCTGAGTTTTTCATAAGTTATGGGAATATGGAGATCAAATAGCACAGTCTTTTATAGACAGTCTCCAGAAATAGTTCTCTTCGGCCTGGGTTCATTACCTTTTAGAGCAACTCTTGTTGAAATTAAAGATGTCAACAAAAAACTTTCACTGGCTTTTCAAACTTTCTAGAATTTTCTCATGAAATAAAAAAAAATGCATGCAAGGCTAGTGTGAAAGAAGTGCAGGAAGTGTCCTCTCACAGCCAAAGCTCCTTCCGTAGCATCACACGTAAACCATGACGTTTGGCTGTGATCTGCAATAGCCATCAGAATGTAATGGCTGAGTTGTTGTTTAAATGCAAATTAATGTTTTAACTTCTTATTAAAGAAATTCAGGAGCAAAGTATGGAAAATTCTTAGACAATGCTGTCTTCGATGATGTTGTCCTTTCATTGTACTAAATTGATGAATGCTCACAATAGCAAAAAGTACAACAAATTTCAATTGTTTAAAAAAACTCATTTTATATGTATATGTACACATATATATGAACACATATACACAGATATGTAGGTCTATGTGTGTGCACAGAAATATTTATTTCTGCATCTTTATAGCTGTGTGTCTATCATCTATCTATCTACCTCTCTATTATCTATGCAGGGAAAGAATAGTACTTTTAATGAAAAAAGACCATTCTCAAGGACAGTAGTTAGGATATGACCTTATTTTTCTGAGTTTTTTTCTTTATCATTTCAAATTTGAATATTATGGTTATGAACCAGTTACTTATTTCTCAGTCTTCTACTTCACATAGGCAATATTTTTGAAAATCAGTGTATGGAAGGTTTGAAATATTGGTCTCTGTATAGATCTGTCTTTAATGTTGCTATTTCTTAAACCATAAATTGGTCTCTGTATAGATCTGTCTTTAATGTTACTATTTCTTAAACCATAAACTTTTTGTGTATGTGGAACCTACACAAAAGAAGCAACTGACTTTTACTCAAGTTAAGTGTTAAATACTGATCCAAAGAAAGAAGCACTATTATAAAATCATGGGTAAGAAAGTCCATCTCAGAACAGCTGAACAGACAATATGGTGGCTCACAGAAACAAAATTGAATTAACTGTTTTCATAGTAATTTACATAAATAAATCTAGAATGGGAAAAATTCTGCTAAAAATGTGCAAAAGACAAACCCACTGTTTATGTGGTGTACAAAATTATTTCCTTTTTTATACTCATCCAAAAAAAATGGATGGCTATTTTGAAAATACTTGGTATTGAGCCACTGAATGATTTATGAGTAGCAAACAAAACATAATCCTTCTCATTACCGCCAATGCAGTATAATCCAACAAGGTGGGGATTTTCCATTTATCTTGGCAGAGGTATTGAGATCTCAGGATGTTTATTCTGCCCATCTTAGCTGCTTTCAAATTCACAATATTGCACCTTTGATTAGCACTGTGGAAAAGATTTTGTCAAGTGGCAGGATCTCCCACTCCTACATTTAGCAGCCTTCACTCTGTAAAAATGTCCTTTTTACCACTCCCTGTTAAATTCCCATGCAGCTGTTTTCTCTTTCTTCCCCATGTCAGATACCAGATATCTGGCAGGAGACTTCTCCAAGCTTATCTGGATGAAGAAAAAAAAAAGCCAGAATAAACTCATCAGACTTGAAAATACATTGGTACAGGAGGATCTTTAGACCGACTGGCTCTTCAAAATATTCTAAGTGGCCCTACCAATTGAAGATTATTAGCCATGGCTCTTGGGGATGTGGGAGGATAGGTCATAAGCTGGAAGCCTTGAGTTAGAAGCTGGAGAGTGACTGCAGTGATAACTGCTCCACAACACAGCTTTAGAATTAAAAGACTTGAACCTCATCTTTGCTCTAAGGTTAGCATTTTTAGTGGAGCTGGTTTTCAATATGAGCCTCTTGTTTTCTTCCTGGTTGACCAGGTGGATTATGGAAAAAGACACCATTGTAAGAGTCTGCCTTCTTTGAGAAATTTCACAACCACTCTTACAGATGGAATTCTGAAAATTTGAGAGATATTTAGGGATTTAATGCATCTTAGGTTTTTTCTAAAATGAGACCCAAGGATTGCAAGCCTTCAGGATGACATGCATAAGGCTTATTATGAAATGCATTCAATAAATAAGGTAGAGGTAGCTAAAAGTGACATCAGTTATAGAAATGGATGTTTCATAGGTAATCACAATAAATTTATGTATGAAACCTGTCAAAGACTAGTTTTGATTTTAAAGTCAGTTGTCATTTAAGAGAAAATTAATTCTCTTAAACAATCCTACCATGGAGCTAGATGAGTTAACACTTATTGTTTTTCCCATTTGCAGGATAGAATTTCTTTGTACTTCAATCTTGAAAAGCTTTGGCAAAGTCAAGACAAGCATTTGTTAGATTTAGAGGATCCTATTTAAGTGAAGGAAAACATTGATCAGTATGAGGTTTGATACAATATTCCTTTGTGAGTACGTGTAAGTTCCTGTACTAAATCACAGTATTTCAAAGTGTGCATTGAAGAATGCAAATGAAAAGAATGTATATATGTAGTTAGATTTTTTAAAGATTTGTTAATTTATTTGAAACTCAGAGTTTTGGAGAAGGAAAGAGAGAGAGAGATCTTGCACTCTTTAGTTAGAGCATTTAATATGTGGAAATCCTACAAAACAGTATCACTCAAGAACAAGATGAGGATTACATGATAAGCATGTATGGCATTAGTGAAAAATTAAAGTAATTGAATAGCTAAATTGTAGTTTGAACATTTGTACCTTCCAAAATCCAAATGTTAGAATCCTGTCTGTGAAGGTGACCACATTAAAAGTGAGGTCTGAGACCCACACACTGGTGCAGTGGGCTAAGTATCTGCCTGCAACACTGTCATCCCATATGAGCTCCAGTTCAAATCCAGCTGCTCTACTTCCAATTCAGCTCCCTGCTGAAGGGCCTGGGAAAGCAGCAGAAGATGGCCCAAGTTCTTGGGCTCTGCCACCCACCCACACAGGAGACCTAAATGGAGTCCTGGACTCCTCGCTTCAGTCTGGACCAGCCTGAGGCAGTTGTGACCATTTGGAGAGTGAACAAGCAGATGGAAGATCACCCTGTCTCTCTCTACTTCTCTCTCTCCTCTCTCTCTCCCCCCCTCTTTCTCTTTCTGCCCCTCAAAAAATTATTTTTGAAAAAATAAGGACTTTTGAGAGTGATTAGCTCATGTGGGCAGAGCACTTGTGATTGGGCTGGGTGCCTTGTTGAACAGGCCCCAGAGAGCTCAGCCAAACCTCTCACCCATGTGAGATGGTTGCTGTCCAGGAAGAAGCAGGCTCTCACCAGACAGAAACTCTGCTTGTGTCTTGACCTTGATCCCAGTCTTCAGCAGTGAGCAACTAGTTTATGCTGTCTGTAAATCATCCAGTCTATGTGATTTTGCTCTGGCAACCCCAATTGACTAGGACAGGCAGCTCCCCAATTTAAGAAGGTAGGATTCTGTGTATAACTCTATGTCTATAACTTTAAGAGCCCAATCTTCAGAAAATAAATTGAAAATATTTTACTGGATGAAAGCCCTGGCTTTTTGGAGAAATACATATTTGGGTCACTAATAATAGAAAAATGGATGGTTGAAACCTACAATATTTCTTCTGATAAGTTCAGCACAGTACAATTCAGCCCAGAGAATAAAAATAAAGCCTTTAGAAGCTTAAGATGCTGTACAGGTGTAGAACAATAAGAATAAATTAACATTTGATGAAACCAGGAACATACTTGTATATGATCCTGTCATTCTTCTCTTGTGACATTCAATGCTGACCACAGTGCTACTAGTTCAGTTTTTGCCTCTTCTGTGTGTTCAGGAAGTTACTTTTCTAGCTTAATGTAACAATATTTTACATCTAACACCTGGCTCAATGTATATTTGTATTATAAAATAATTAGTTGACATGTATATAAAAGATTTTCCTCCTGTGGTTGATGGTTAGGTTGTGTACTTTGTGCTAAACACTCTTTCATATGAATTATAATATAGACTTCTAAGGAAAAGAAAGAGCATGCAATTTTAATCTCCATGTTGTGTCTTGAAAAGATTGTTACTTACCTAACAAAACACAATTCTGAATGGCAAATCTCAGAATTCTAATCAGAGTTTTGCATAACAATTCAATTCTTTCTGAGGAACCCTGAGGACTTACTTTTACTTAGGAATTTACATTCCACACACATTCATCTCCTTTTCATATTATCTTGCAAAACTGTACCTAAATATTTGTGGAATAAATATAATCTGCATAATATCAACTGTTAAGTTCTTTGAAAAGATAATTATTACTCAACTGTTTTGCTGTTTGTTTTTTTCCACCAAGGCCATGCTTAGATTATTCTAGGAATGTCTGGCAATGACATAATCTCCTTCTCCTGTCCACACTGAGTTTGATTGTATGACTTTCTCTGAACAATGAAACTATATTAACAAATATGATCCAAGCAAAGACTTGAGAAACCTTGCATGTTGCAGCTTTCCCTCTCAGAGCTCCTGGAAATGCTTCTACAACCACCTGAAGATTGGGATTCCAGGCTATCCTGGTAGAAGTTGGAAACACACGCAACAGAAATGCGTTGTTTTAGTGGAGGCCCAGCCAGCTCATAGTCAACCCACAAGCCAAGTGCAGATTCATGAGGAAGCCAGGTACTGCTGGCAATAAAACTGGCCAAGTAATTCCAGTCCAAATCTAACGCACAAGACTGCGAGTGAATTACAGCTCGGTATCCATTAAGATCCAGCAATGTGTAGAGTGGTTTGTTATACAGCATTGGCTTAATGTCACAGCATTGAAAAGGGACTTCAAAGAAGTGAATAAAATTGTGTGTGCATGTATGTGTACATATGTAGATATATCATATTTACATATCATTATTTTTCAATAGTGTTAAGTCATTTAGGAAAAAAGAGAAAAAATATCCAAATACCTTCAGAACCTCTCAAACTAGGCTTATAGAATTACTTTTCAAAAGGAATTACGCTCAGACAAAAGTGAAACTTCTGTTGAATGACTAGATAGCTGGGGAAAACCAAGATCCCCAGGTTAGTAAACACAGAGTTTCTACTTTGTTCTTCACTGAAGGCTCAGTATTACAGCCATCATTATGAACACTGGAAGCAAACTCCAAATTCTGACTTCCTTCATGTATTATATAAAACACAGTTTTCCTGGAGTTCACTGTCTCTCTATAATGACAGAAATTTGTGGTTCCCCCTGCCTATTGTCCTGTTCCCAGCTAGAGAAATAATTAAACAAGAACAAAACACAGGATAGGCTTTAGTCTAGCAGTTATGATGTTGGTTGGTTGCATTTCAGGTTGGGTTCAGCTCAGCTCCTGGCTCCAGCTTCCTGCTAACATAGATCCTGGGATGCCACTGTGGTAGCCTTAGTCAACAAGTTCCTTACTACTCACAAGGGAGACCTGGATTGGATTCTTGGCTCCCAGCTTCAGCCCCTAGCCGAGGATCATCATGTACATTTGGAGTATGAGCAAGCAATAGTTGCATCCCCTCTCTCTCTCACTCTCTGCTCTCAAATAAGTAAATAATAAAGTTTTAGAAGTTAAAAAACAATAAAACAAATGCCCCCTCTCTTTCTCTCTGCCTCTCAAATAAGTATATAAATTTTTAAGTAAACAATTTTTTAGAAATGAAAACATAGTGAAACTATTGTCTGATGATGTAGATTTTGGAACAGGCTTTCTTGCATGCCAGAAGCTGTACACTTATAGATGGAACTTTGTGAAGTTCCAGGGAAGGAAATGTTATGCTCCATAAGTTAGGTACTAGTCATAATTAATAAAACACAAACTGGCAATGTATAAAAACACATGAAAGTGTTCCTGTATGCGTTTTCCCCACCCAGAAGTAACCTAACAGGGTTGAGATGTAAAATTAACAGAGGAAAGAAGATGATTTAAGAAATTAGATGAACAGTTTTCTCGCTTAAGATATGCATTCATATGTCCGCACCCTGTTGATATTTCCTTGGTTCCAGTGGGATCCCAGAGGAGGTGTGTACAGTGAAAAAGGAAATGAGACTCCAGCCCTCACAGTGCCAATCATAACTGCACTGTCCATAAAGATCTTTGCATTTGACTTTCAGGAATGTTTTTCTAAAGCTTAACAACTTGTAACCATCACTCAGCTAGATTCTCCCAGGGCAAGTCACAGCCCTTACAAAGAGTGTGCTGGGAGCATTATAAGAGGAGACCATTTGTCATCCAAATAAAATTCAAGAAGGGGATCTAAGAAGTAATTAATACAAAATTAATGTAATAGTACTCTTTAGGTCTTACTATTTGAGATCTGCAAACTTTTAATAATTCCAAAGTGTTCTCTGAGTTAGTAGCAGAATTTTGCATTACCAAGACCAGCACAATTTCAAAAATATTTGGAGTAATGGGACAAAAATATTCATGAGTGGTCTACGTGCCCTTGTATTCCATCATTTCCTCTATGCTGCACCATTTGACGATTTCTGAACCTGAAACACTAATGCAGGACATGGCCCATGCAAGCATTCAAGGGCCAATGCATGAACTCACAATGTCTTCTCACCTTACGTGGTTCCCAAGTACATTGTATGTGGAGATGCCAGAGAGCCACCATTTTGGGAGTGTTTATTTGGAAGCCTGGACTTAGGAGACTCAGTATGGAGAGTGAGCAAATGAGCATTTTTGTATCATGCCATTGAGGCTCGGAAGCTAATGTGTTAGCGCAACATAACATACCCTATTCTGACCAATACAGGAAACTACTCAGGGGTTGTCAACTTTCTAACATGCCAAATAGGAGATTTTGAAAGGATACAAAATTCCTCACCACATTCCATCATTATGTCAAATAAATATTTTCACACACACCTCCCCACCACCAACAAATACAGAAAGAACGTTATTTCAGAACACAGAATTCTTCTTTAAACTCAATTAATGTAGGGTTTTTTCCCCATAAAATCACTCACTGATTTTTAATTTTTTCATTTTGCTGGGTAAAAATACTTAATTATGAAATAGCACACCTCTCTTCCTTTTGATAATTAAGAACAATGAAAACAATCCCTGGCAATGCCCAGCTTTACCTGTCTTTTGGTGAGATCCAGATTCTCTGCTATCTTGTATCTCCTCAGTCTAGTCACATAGTTGTGATGGGCAAATTCTGCTTCTAGTCCTTGGATTTGCTCTTGGTAAATGCTGTCCTTTCCTTCCTGGGTTTGCTGTTGACTTCAGACTTGTAATTTCCTTCTTGAGAATCTGAAAAAAAAATAGTACCAACTCATTCATTCAAATATATGTAATCATGTGATTTACTGTATTCATCATGGCTGAGTTACTGCTTTCCTAAGTGCTGTGCTAGTCTTGGGACAAATGGAGAGCAGAAGCAGTAAAATACTCTCACCTCCATCATGCACAACACATTCTTTGGTTTTCCAATCTGCCTTCAAGCAACTGATGACCTAATTGGAGATGTGTCAAGTTTTCTCCTTACAAAACATGAACTGTATATAACCACCCATCATATGATATTATAATAAGATGGATGAAATCCTCTCTAGAAGACAATTTTAGATATGAAATTTAGTAAGTTCTTAACACACAGGCTTCGGGTCTAAGTATGAACAGAATGATTCTCCATTTTTTAAGCATTATTTATTTATTTGAAAGGCAGAGCAAGTGACAAAGTGAGAGGGAGAGGGAGAGGGAGAGGGAGAGAGGGAGAGAGGGAGAGAGGGAGAGAGAGAGAGAGAGAGAGATCTTCCATCCACTGGTTCACTCCCTAAATGACCACAAAGGTCTTGGGCTGGCTCAACGAAAGCGAAGAGCCTGGAACTCCATCTGGATTCTTCTGCTACTTTCCCAAGAGCATTAGCAGGGAGCTTGTTGGGAAGCAGAAGAGCCAAGAATTGAGCTGTCTATCCAAGATGACATGCCTATGATACAAGCTGAGGCTTGACTGGTTGTATCGTAACAACAGCCCCTTGAACAGAATCATTCTAAAAAAAAAAAAAAAAAAGACAACTTGGTATATGAACCTTTGCACAACCCAAGTATTTAACAAATAGACCGTAGAAGTCCAAGCTCAAACTGAACATAAGTAAATGTTTATGTGGACTTATTGGCTTTTTGATTTCTAATTAGATATGATCTCCTTGAAGGCAATAGCAATGTTTTTATCCATTTTATATCATACTTACTACAATATGGAAACATAAGTAAAAATGTGAATATATGTCTTAAAATATGAACATAATTTTAAAATATTTTTCATCACATATAAATGTAAGATGCACAATGTCCAAAACTAGCTAGCTAACAATACCAAATCTGATAGAATATCATGTAAAAAATAAAAAAATAGGGGCTGTAGCTATGGTGCAGCAGGTTAAACTGCCACCTGCAGTGCTGGCATCCCATATGGGCACCAGTTCAAGCCCTGGCTGCTCCACTTCTGATCCAGCTCCCTGTTAATGCTCCTGGGAAGGCAGCAGAAGATGGTTCAAATCCTTTGGACCCTGACCCATGTGGGAGCTCTGGATGAAGTTCCTGGCTCCTGACTTTGCCCTGACTAAGCCCTGGCCAAAGAGGCCACTTTGAAAGTGAACTCATGGACTGAAGATTCTCTCTATATATGTATAGATATAGATAGAGATAGAGATAGAAGAATTGGTGACTGATGTGTTCAGGTAGACTCAGCAGCCCCCTGGGTGTCCCACCTTGAGCAGTCCAGGACTATGCTAATGGGCAGTTTTGCTTCCAGTCTATTCTTAGTGGAGTTCATTTATTTGTAAATAATAGAAGTTTAAGCATGAATTTTGCTTTAATTTCATCATCTTGCCCTTTGTAAGATTTATTTACTATGTAATTCTTTCAGATAGACAGAGGTGTCCAATCCAATGGTCCTTCATCCATGATATAAATACATACAAAATCCACAAAAGTTTAAAAAGTTAATGAAATTAATCCCACAATTTTTTTTACAGGCAGAGTGGACAGTGAGAGAGAGAGACGGAGAGAAAGGTCTTCCTTTTGCCGTTGGTTCACCCTCCAATGGCCGCCGCGGCCAGCGTGCTGTGGCAGGCGCACCACACTGATCCGAAGGCAGGAGCCAGGTGCTTCTCCTGGTCTCCCATGGGGTGCAGGGCCCAAGCACTTAGGCCATCCTCCACTGCACTCCCGGGCCATAGCAGAGAGCTGGCCTGGAAGAGGGGCAACAGGGACAGAATCCGGCGCCCCGACTGGGACTAGAACCCGGTGTGCCGGCACCGCTAGGTGGAGGATTAGCCTATTGAGCTGTGGCACTGGCCACCCACAATTAATTTAAAGTACATTGAATACAAAAGTGCTTTGTCAAACATTTATAAACAGGCCAAAGACACATAATGGGAGAATGTAATGAAATTCACTTCACTCAAGTGATCATAAATTTAATTCTTCTCACTAGGAACTGCAGAACACTTAACCTGGAAATGAAGCAGTGCATGTTTTCTGGGTAAATCTAAACTTTGTGGACTTTGCTACACATTTCTAGTTTGGGGAACTGACTACAGATGCCCACAGTGAACTTATGTCTCTTGCTATGTTACAGAAGGAAAGCATTAGTTGCAGATATATCATGGCTGTGCACCCAACTACACAACGCATATGTGCATGGATTGTGCTTGCTAACCAATTACTTCTCCAGGGTATTCTTTTGTAACTCCAGTGGCACTGGGAATTTCCAGTGAAGGCTTTTTGATATGAAGCATTCCATTCTATTTCCCTGGATTACAATAGTTTCAGAGCACACCTCTCCCATGGGTTTCCAGCAAATTCTTTCTGTTCCTTCCTTAAGTGCTTACCACATGGCACTACTACATGGAGGTTTCTTCCTCTGTTTTCCCAGGTGCAGTAGCAGGGTGTTGCTGCATTGGAAGTGGAGCAGCCTGGATTCAGTGGGCGCCCATATGGGAAGCCGGCTATGCAGGTGGAGGCTTTACCACTACACCACAACACCAGCCCTGATTCCATTGTTATAACTTGTTCAGGCATTAGAAGTGGATAAAGGATAAAGGAAGACCTAAATGGAAGATCTCTGTGAGATCCCAGTGGAAATAATGGGACCATCAAAGAAGGAGGTACCTTTCTCTGAAGGGAGGAGAGAACTTCCACTTTGACTATGACCCTGTCGGAATAAGATCAAAGTCGGCGAACTCAAAAGGCTTCCATAGCCTTGGCAACTTATGACTAGAGCCTAGGGAGATTACTGACGCCATAAACAAGAGTGTCAAATTGTTAAGTCAACAACAGGAGTCACTGTGTACTTACTTCTCATGTGGGATCTGTCCTTAGTGTGTTGTCCAATGTGAAGTAATGTTACAACTAGTACTGAAACAGTATTTCACACTTTGTGTTTCTGTGGGGGTGCAAACTGATGAAATCTTTACTTAATATATACTGAATTGATCTTCTGTATATAAAGATAATTGAAAATGAATTTTGATGTGAATGGAATGGGTGAGGGAGCGGGAGATGGGAGGGGTGTGAGTGGGAGGGAAATTATGGGGGGGAAGCCATTGTAATCCATTAACTGTACTTTAAAAATTTATATTTACTAAATAAAAAATTTTAAAAAATATGTTGAAAAAAAGAAGTGGATAAAGATGATACTGACAATCACACCTACATTTAATCCAGGCAGAAGCTTCAGGCAAGGTCATGAAATAGATTCTAACCTCCACACATGTTCACCATTCACCCTATATACTGCCCTTAGTCAGCAGTTACATTGGAGTTGTGTGATGCCACTGCCTCTCTGGGGACATGGGGAGGAAAAGAAACTCTTCTCACTAATTAACAAAAATAAGTAACTTGACAGGATCCAGAGAAATTGTGATACTTCTGACTGACTGCTGTCAACAGGGCAAAAAAGGCTCTCACACAACACCGTACAACATACAGAGTTGCAGTGAGGTGCCAGGGAATTCAGTCCCAGTTGTGCCAGCAGCATTGTAAATGCCTAGGTCACAGAACAGGTGAGTTGTCATAGAGTTTTCTTTTTATTGTGGAAAATGAGTCTTTTCAGAGTGCAAGTTTTGAATTTATGCACTGATTCTGAGCCCAATTTGGGGGTAAGTTATTATACTGATGAACATATTTTTGTAGTAGTAACATATACTACTGAGCTTGTCATTTGACTTCATGTCTGGTGTGCTGCTCTGGACTCAAAAGTCTAGGTAATTGAAGATTCTGAATTTTTCCTTATTCATCTTTGCACTCAATGTGCTAACCACCTAATTCTGAAACTGTTGGATTTTTGGTCATGATTATGATTTTAAGGATGACCCTAAGACAGTTTGTTCTGTTATAGGAATTTAAGTGAATTTCAACTTGAAAAGGGGGATGAAGGACTTGTTCTTCAATATTGCTTTCTAGAAACTTTTCAATGTGCTTTTGTAGATCTCTCATAAAACCAACAGAAGATGGGGCAGGTAAGATTACCTCCACCTTTTACCTACAATGATGTCTCTAAACAAGATCAGACTGAAGCATATAAAATTAGAATATGGAAGGAGTGAACAATATTTTAATGTATATTTCCAAATAGCTAGAAGAGAGGATTTTCCATGATCCACTGTGAAGAGAAGGTATGCTTGAAGTGAGATACACATTATTGCTCATTAAACAATGTATACATAAATTGAAACATCGCACTGCACCCAACAAATGTGTACAATTATGTCAAAAATGTTTGAAAAAATTTCAGAACATTCCTTCCCGCAACCACTACAAAAAAGTAAAATACACCAAACCAGTGTCACTACCATAACATGTAAAACCCGAGAGATTGTATGTTACACTAACTGAATGAGCAGAATTCACAAAGATCTTAATTTCTGACCACAGTGCTTCAGACATTTGGTGTTGGACAATTCTTGCTATATCCATAATCAGTGAAATGTAAACACATTCAAGATAATGGTGGCCTGGCAAATGGCAGGAGGGTTAGCAGCATCCATGGTTTCTATAAGTAAGATGCCTGTAGCAACCCCCAACCCTTCCCTTTGTTGTCAGATACCATACAGGACTCCTAAATGAACTTGAATTTCATAGAGAGAGTGAATAATATTTTAGTGCATTAGAAATATCTCATGAAACACACATTTTTTTTGACAGGCAGAGTGGACAGTGAGAGATAGAGACAGAGAGAAAGGTCTTCCTTTGCCATTGGTTCACCCTCCAATGGCTGCCGCAGCCGGCGCACTGTGGCCGGTGCA